GAGATATAACAGGCACATAAATCATAGAAAGCATTACTTTTATTATTGTTCTCTTAAGCCCCTTTCCTAAAAAAGTCTTTGGCATCAAGCCCCTATAGTGCATCCCTCCTAGAGTGGGTGGCGTCGTGTAAGCTCTTAGTGAGTTTTCATTGTTGGGTCTCTGGGGTCAGAATGTTGTCCTTCTTTCTATACCAGTCTGTGTTTCCCTTCTCATAGCCCCATTTCTCAGCATTTTTCTGTTCCTGTGGAAAATACTGGGGAAGGCTAGGGAGGTCAGGGGGCCAATCACTAGAGCCATACCTTGTTCAGGTTCCTGAAGTTGAGCTGCCTTTTTGCAGTCTGTGATCAGCTTTACTGTTCCCTTGGCTCACATTAGGTCCATCCCTAACGGCCCCTACAGTTGATGACTGCTACCTGGGTCAGGAGTTGCACTGCTTCTAAAAGAGCCAGAACAAAATCTGTATGTTTTATGAGAGAGTTTCTATCAGTCAAGCTTTCTCTTTCCTTCCAAATGGTGACTTGAACATATAGTACATGGAATTCATTTTAGAGTCAGCAAAACTATTTAATTTTGTATCCTTCCCTAATTGAAAGCTCTCATTAATGCAGCTCACTTGGCCTTTTAGGCTGATGTCTCACCAGGGTTCTTGGCTTCTTTAATCAATAGGAATTGATAAGAGGCCAGAGGAGATTCAGACAACGTTTTATGAGGATTTGTGCTACCTCAGGAGGGAGTGAAAACAAGTAACAGGTTCCCTTATTCACTCCCTGAGGTGGGGTGAGCTGGTTCCTTATATGGGGTAATGGGAGGGAGTGGGTCCAGGGGTGAGCTTCGGTGAAGTGATGCTTGTGCAGGGATCATGCATGGTATCCAGCTTTTATTCTGGGCATCTCAGAAGGGGAAGTTGGGTTTTTGGTGTCTTATATCTTATTTGTAATTTGCCCCAACTGCCCATGCATGCAGTTATTTTTAGTCCCTTAGATTGTTTGTGTTGTTGCATCACCTCAAGCAGTGAAGGATCCCATGTCCCAGGCTGTCTTAAGCTGATCTTGACCGATTCTCTGTATTCACTTCTCTCTCCAGATTTCGGAGTGCTGTTTTGCCCTGCACTCTGATGGATATAAGAATAGGCATTGATTTTTGTGTGTTCAGCTTTTTTTCTTTCTCTTATTTTAAGGACAGGAATGATGATTTTTAAGCTCTTTATTTGTCAGAACTGAAAAATGGAATCTGTCTATAAATTCATTTGAACCAATATGTATGGAATATTAGTTTGAACGATTGCCAAGTTATTAGATTTTTTGTGTTCACTCTTGTCTCAACCAACCTTGGATAGGGATACCAGCAATTTAAACATGCATCTTAGGTTAAATGCAGCCACTGAAATGAAAATGATTCTCAGAAAGGCTACAAGAGAAAGACCCACAGTAATAAATTTTGGAGGCAAATTTGTGTTAATGGACCACAATAGTATCATTGGAAGCAACTGTATAGTATAACAATAATCTAAGCATTTGAAATAAAAGATTTAAAACAATATCTATTATGAATGCTATGAATAAGGAGAGCATGTAAGAGGTTGATTCTATTCAAGCCTTTTTTTGACAGATTTTGAATAAGGCCCTCTAGCTCTCATGATCAAAAGTCTCAATCAAGGTAGAGGCTCTGAACTAACAGCCCCAAACTTGAATTAGGCTTGACATAAATTGTGTTTTTTAAAAAGGAATGGGCTGCTGACTTTTAATGATTTGGCAATTTCTCTAGAAACCCTTGACCTTGCTAGAAACACTGGCCAGTGTCACCTACAGAGACAGCACAGAAGTTACCCCTTCCAATTTGCCACAGATGTCTCCAGATACTTTCATTTTTGTCTATAGCTGACCCTTCTTGGCACCTGAGTTTGTCTTATGAAGCAACTTTTTAGACGTTGGGAGTAAAAAAATCCTATTAGCTCTTTTATAGAATTTGAAAATCAGGTAGAAATTCAGGATGTTGTTTACCTTTCAATAGCATATTGATTCAGTTCAATTTTCCATGGATGGTTTATGATAAGCAACTTTAATTAGTCAGCAAAGAAGTACATGTGAAAGTATTTCCATCATATTTTGTATCTTTGTAATTTTGGGGTTGCTGAAAACCACCTTTTCCACCTTATCTTCATATCTTCTTTTTGCTCATGTCAGTTCAACCATTTTGCAAGAACTCTTAATAGCTTCTCTTAAGTCCATTTTGTAGAATTCATATTTTGATTCAAGATGTGGTCATTATTAACATGATGCGGTTTATTTTGGAAGTAATTAAAAATAGAGATTTTGAACATGAAGTTATATAACCTTGACAGTTTTCCTAGTTTTCATAACCCATACCCACCAATATACTTTTTCCCAAGGATAACACCTTAATAGTTTTTTTTCTTCTTTCTTTTCCCCATCTGCATCCTATGCGGTTGTGTGCACACACAGAAACACATGTATCAGTCAGTTCGGTTCAGCTGCTCAGTTTTGTCCGACTCTTTGTGACCCCATGGACTGCCGCACACAGGGCCTCCCTGTCCATCACCAACTCCCATAGTTTACTCAAACTCATGTCCATTGAGTTGGTGATGCCATCCAATCATCTTATCCTCTGTTGTCCCCTTGTCCTCCTGCCTACAATCTTTCCCAGCATCAGGGTCTTTTCCAATGAGTCAGCTCTTCACATCAGGTGGCCAAAGTATCGGAGTTGCAGCTTCAGCATCAGTCCTTCCAATGAATATTCAGAATTGATCTCCTTTAGGATGGACTGGTTGGATCTCCTTGCAGTCCAATGGACTCTCAAGAGTCTTCTCCAACACCACAGTCCAAAAGCATCAATTCTTTGGTGCTCAGCTTTCTTTATAGTCCAACTCTCACATCCATACATGACTACTGGAAAAACCATAGCTTTGATTAGATAGATCTTTGTTGGCAAAGTAATGTCTCTGCTTTTTAATATGCTGTCTAGGTTGGTCATAACTTTCCTTCCAAGGAGGAAGCATCTTTTAATTTCATGGCTGCAGTCACCATCTGCAGTGATTTTGTAGTCCAAAAATATAAAATCTGTCATTGTTTCCACTATTTCCCCATCTATTTGCCATGAAGTGATGGGATGCCATGATCTTAGTTTTCTGAATGTTGAGCTTTAAGCCAACTTTTTCACTCTCCTCTTTCACTTTCATCAGGAGGCTCTTTAGTTCTTCTTCAGTTTCTGCCATAAGGGTGGTGTCATCTGCATATCTGAGGTTATTGATATTTCTCTCAGAAATCTTGATTCCAGCTTGTGCTTCATCCAGCCCAGGATTTCTCATGATGTACTCTGCATATAAGTTAAATAAGCAGGGTGACAATATACAGCCTTGACGTACTACTTTTCCTATTTGGAACCAGTCTGTTGTTCAATGTCATTTCTAACTGTTGCTTCCTGACCTGCATACAGATGTCTCAAGAGTCAGGTCAGGTGGTCTGGTATTCCCATCTCTTTAAGAATTTTCCAGAGTTTGTGGTTCACACAGTCAAAGGCTTTGGTATGTACATAAAAAATCTATACATATGTATATACACAGACACAAAGCTAAATATGTTCACATATAAACACATACATACACTTAGATATATATCTATATCTGTTTACTACATGTCTGTTATTTACACAAGTGAATTCATATTATGCATAGTTCTTGTACCTTGATTTTATTCTCTTCAGTGACTGTATAGTATTCATTTGCAGCCATTTGTATTGTTTCCAATTGCTTCTCTTTAGTGTCTGTTTTCTGATTGCGTATTAAAAATTGTACCAGTGACATGCTCTGGTGATTATATCATTTTGAACTTTTACAGTTAATGATGGGAATCCCTGAAAGTAGTAGTCTACATCTAAGAGTAAGGTGATTAAAATTTTGGAACATTTTGCCAATCTGTACCCCAGCAAGTTAGCAACAAATCTTATTTTTCTTGAATCTTTGCCTTTAGGATGTACTCCTGAAATTTAACATGCCCTATTCTGATTTTTTTCTCCTTACATGAGTTCAGTTATGTACTTTTTTCATATATGTATTCTGCAGATATATATTTTTATGTGAAATTCTACATTTACATGTGAATATCTGGATTTCAAAATCTCTTGTTTGGTTATTAGCATTCAAAAAATGTCATTTCTCAACATAGTTTTCATTGAAGCTTCCAGAAAAGAAATCTTCTATTCCTTGTTGCTTGTTCAAGTGCAAGTGCCCAGGGAATGTTAAACTTGACAACTGCTGCCTGGTTGAGATGCTAAACAATATTTCCCCAGGGGCAAAGTTTTTCTTAATGTGCCATCACTATATGGTTTCCTCTAGGCTATTCTGCCTTGTGATATTTCATAGTCAAAGGTGAAACCAAGGGTTAATACCTATAAAGAATAAACTGTTGACACACTTCTCTTGTTAGGCATGGTAATTTCCTGGTAACAGGATGAAAGGGAAACACTAGAGAGTGGTAGGCAGATACTCTAAATCATCTTTCATAATTCTCAGAATTATGTAGAACTTCTGTTGTGAACTTCACTCATTTAGTCAGCATTTATTGAATCCCTATTGTTAGTAATAGAACAACAAGTTAATTTGTTGATAAAAGGTACATTGAATTAAAAATCCTTTTATTAACAAGTAATATTCTATGTCAACTATAATAAAAAAAATACTGGTGGTTTTGGCTTAAAGACATAGTGTGCCATGGGTAAAAATTGAAATGAAAAGATAGGATTCTAATGTGGAAAACCCTGTTGAATGGACCTCATCTAATCACAAAGAGTTTGGGGAGCAAAAGGTTGACAGCATTGTGAGAAATGGGATGAAAGTGATGTCTTTATCATTCTCCTGATCACGTGCCCAGTGGAAAAGTTACTGGTAAGTTCCAGTAACTTTTTGATACCCAGCTGTAGTGTCAGAGGCCCTCCTCTCATAACTTCTCCTCCAGCTCAACTCTTTGCGTGTGATTTCCCACAGTATTCAAAGGCGGAAAGGCATCCTGTGACTGCACTGGAGAAAATGATGGAGTCAAGTTTTGCCGGCCCCCAATCATTCCCAGAGGTCCCTTCTCCCGACAGAGGAAGCCAATCTGTCAAACACCACAGGTACAGGTAGCTGAATCGTGGTGGGAATGGGCATGTTGACACAGTGTGTAATGCTGAACAGAACATACCAAGGAACAGCAACATTATTCAGGAGAGGTGATCATTCTTGCTTCTCCTCTAGTTGCCCATGGAGTGGAAGCTCAGGCAGCTCACAGCAGGCAAAGAGACCAGTAGGCAGCAGTGCACCTAGAAGAAGCCTAAAGGGACTTATTAACAATACCCATCAAGGCTGCAGACACAGACCAGGAATGAAACAATTGCTATCTGAAAAATCATTAAAAACATGGTTTTCCTAGCCTGCCTTATCACTGCAGATTTAATGACTCATTCTTCCCTAGGCAGCTGATAGCACATGTTCCAGATCTTCACACATAGTTCTCACAGGGGAAGAATCCTGCTAAATCTTTTCTTGGTTTAATATTAGATCTTCCATTATCACTGGAGTGGGACTTCTTTTTTTTTTTTTTTTTTTTTTAACAAGCTGACCATAAAATTGGCTATTTGGGGAAGAAAGCCAAAAATAAAGTTATCTTATAAAAGTTTTCAATTTTACAGCATTCTGAGGCTGAGCACATTCTCAGCATCTTCTAGTCACATGCTATGTTTATACATAAGGAATCTGGAACTCCAAAAATTGAAAGCTTTGTTCTAAGGGGCCAACAGTTGAGACCTGCTATTACAGACGTTATGTTTATGTACATCCAAAAATATATTGTCAATCTTTGTGGAAATTGTCCAAAGATTTAAGCTTTGTTTTCTTAGTAGGAAGGACAGTGTTAAAAAAATTCTTAAATTATGAAGGGAATAAATATTTTTTTTAATGGAAAAGGTAAAGAAAAAGAAGTAGTTTCCAGCAATGAAAGAAAAATGTTGTTGACCCTTGGTTTTCACATATCTAGGCCTCATTTTGGAAACCACTGTGAGAGAAATATTCATTGTTCAAGGAAGCTAACTTTTCTCTCACCTCTGAAGGAGTCCCCCCAAAAGATTTTACTGATACTGGCCACATTTACTATGGGATTTTCATGTCACTCTGGATACTAATCATTGGTACTCAATGGTAATTTTTATTCTTAATCTATGTGAGTAGAGACTGAGATATTAAGAGTTTGCTAAGATTAAAAAGGGTTAAATATTTTCAACACAGGATGAAATATGTTGGCCACTGAATAACTGCTTTAGCTACTGAGTACAACTTTTGGTTTATATCAGTAGGGGAATTTACAAATATTTCCCTATGAAAAGAGCATTTTAAGTTCACTGAACTTAACGGATCTTCTTCAATTAGGAAATTAGATTCAAAATTATCAGCCTTTTAGAAGATTTTTTTTTCCAAAAGCATATTTCCCTCTGCAGATTGTAATCCATGTTAAAGCAGTATTTCATCCAGTCAAGTAAAATAAAGTATAATATTATTATATTATGTCATACATGTTTTAAAGTTGATAGGATAAAGAATGACAGCTTATAATGTATTTGACCTGCAGATAACCCCATCCCTATTTTTGTCTGTTGATACACCGCTCCTAAACTTGGCTTCTACTATGGCTTCTAGGAATCACTCACAGGTCAAATAAGGAACTCTCTAAGAAACCTTCTTTTTTGTTTGGTTCAATGACACTGCAGTATTTGTTGGCATGCATTGTTTCCTGATAGACGGGCAAGGGTTGATTTATAAAGTGCTTTTAGAACTTTGTAAATTATAGTTCAATATATCATAGCTTTTGTTTTGTAAAACATGCAGTAGAATTAAACATTTTTGTGATTGATAACCTAGTCATAGATTTATACATCCTGCTAACTGCTCCATAACTTCCTGAATGCCACTGGGTTAGAAAGCTTGAAGAGTGGATCGATCAATAGGTATAGAACGGTTTTTTAAGATGGGTTACTAGTTCATACCCGTAGACTTTGTTGTTGTGCATTTTGGCTAGCTATGACTAATTCATTTCTTTTGGTGTACTGCAAATCTGACTCATTTGGATAACTCATTTATGAAATAAAATCTATTAATTCAAAGCCATTATTTCTCATGTTTAGTCCAACACCCCCCCCCCTTTATTTTAAAGAAGCAATCTATTAAGTCATGTCATAATTTTGGAAATATAACTCAGGACATATATAGCCATTATATATAGCAATTATAGCCAGGACGTATATAGGTTTTTTAAGGTAAAATAATTCCAGGGTTTTCAGTAATTTGTATGAGCCTTTGAGTTGTCAGTTTGGGCAGAGGAATTGGGGAACCTATTGTGTTGAGCACCTACCAAGTGCCAGATTTCCTGCTAAACACTACATGTTTGAGCTCTTTAATCCCCACAGCAATACTATGAAAATACCTAAACACATGCACCACGTGTAGGTTTTACCTTTTTCTGCCCTGCCTTGTACACTAAGAGAGGAAGCATCTTCTCTTGCCTTTGGACTTCTGTTGTTGCACTGCGATGCACCGGCACGGAGGGAAGGGCAGGGCCAGTGAGGTCCTAGCACTCCTGCCCCGCCCTCCCTGCCTGGTGGCCTTAGCTATGGCCCTCTTCTTGGGGGCCACAGCACCTGCTGGGTGGCCTCTTCTTACAACCATTTTCTCTCTTTAGTCAGGTAACTGCTCCTTCCCCCTTGTCCTTTCAGGAACAAGGATGGTAACAGCTTCCCATTGTCACCAGCCCTTAAGTAGAGTAGTATCATGTTGTGTTTGTTTCTTTTTTTCTCCCCTCAAACATTGAACATACATTTGTAAACAGCAAAATTTTCCCAAATGATCCAGTTTCTGGTGCCATTTATTTCCCTCCAGGACTCTGACTGGTACATGTACTATCCCCAGTATCATGCTGCTAGTAACATACAGACCCAATGCAGCTAATTCTAGCATCCAAGTCCGAGTGCTCTGTGAACTTCACAGTTGCCACCAGAGAGCATATATAGAAACTGGAAGGCAAGAAACGAATCGGTTATTACGGAGCTCCTTAAACGTGCTGGTTTAATGACCTAGCTAGATGTCCCTTGTTAAGCATTTTAGGATTCAACACACTAGAAATATTATGCTGAAGAATGAAATTGTAATAACCACGCTAGGTATAATCTGGTATCTGCACAAACTCAGGAAGTTAGTGATAGGCTTGACAAATATTAAGTTCTAAAGTGTGGCCGCTTTCCCTAGCCAAATCCAGGATGGTGGCTACTGGCACTTCATATGTCAGGTTTTCAAATCCTGACCCTAAATATTAATAACATAGGAGAGGTTTTGTATTTATTAAGTGGAAATAACAGTAATGTTGGTGGGGGAAAAAGTTATGGAACTCCATATAATGTAGTAATATGGATAAAAATCCTTTGGGGGAATGGTTCCTTTAGAACTTGATGGCATATTGAAATTTTGAAAATGTTTTTGCTCTGTGTATGGTTTTATTGCTATTTTCAAAGTTAAATGAGAATGTAACACAAACATTCTAAATTATCTTACAGGCATCTCAGGGAATGTTTATACAGGAACAGAGTCTTACAATTCACATGGTAGTAGGGTAAATTCAATGGTGTGGAGAGAGGAATAGATATGGATGGAATTAGTAATGTGGCAAATTAGTAAGTGATTCCTGTAAAGAGTCTAGTTCTTTATTTAATATATCTACGTAGGGATCTTACCTGAGGTATATCCCATGTATGCTATTTGCCCCTTGATGGCACCTGATAACATATGGTTATTTGGCTATTTGGATGTATGAATCAAATGAAATATATGATCATGCATTTATTAAAAGCAAACTCAAAGGGTTGATATGGGATTATATAAAATCATGTGTGAATCTTTTGAAAATTGTAAAACACTATAGAATTTTAAGAATCTTTCATTCAATAAAAATGTTAGGAAAAGGAAACCTCAAAAGAAAAATAATTTAGGTTCTCAGGATTTATGAAAATTTGAGATTGTGAACTGGAAAAGTAAATAACATATATTTTAAGGAAACAACGGCAATTAAAATAAGGATTGTTTGTTCTACCACTGACACCATTGACATTTTCCCCTAAGGCTTCTTGGGTTTAGTTCTTGTCACTGTTTAGTAACAAGACCATTTTTATTTCTATTAGAGGCCCTGCTGGAGCATGGATGATGAGGGAAGATGGGAATCAGGAGCTGGAGCATTCTTTAAGCTCACCTCTCAGGCTGGGAAGCTGCCATTATTTCAGTCCATTGTGCTCCAGACAGGAATGCCAGAAACAGAGGAACTGAACATTTTTTCTTAGTCTGTCCAAAGATAAAATAGATTCAGCAACTTTCGATCTCTCCTAGCCAATATCCTGCAGGCATGGGTGGAACCTGGCCTCGAACTCTGAGGATCTGGGGTGCAAATACAGTGCTTGAAGAATCTGAGCAGCCACCTGTGAGAAAATGGCTATGATCAATTTGTTTGTTGGTTTTCTTTCCACCAGCAGGACCCTCTCCTCTTGCTGCAGTCCAGGGCAAAGGAGTGGTATGCTCCATAGGAATGCCTTCAGAAGGACACCCCCATCACCCCGAAGTAGGCTGAGTGGACTCGTGGGACCAGCATATCAGCAACTGGAGGAATCAAGGATCCCAGACCAGGATACGATACCTTGCCAAGGGTAGGTCTTAAAAGCAATGGAATTTAGGGAGGGTGAATACTAGAGTTTTAAATGGAGTTTTTAATGTTCCTTGGGGTTTTATTCCTATTTTCCATCACTAATTGGCTATTTATGCTTGCTTCCATATTTGTTTCACAAAAGAATAACTATAAAGAATAGATACAATGGAAGTAGATATTAGATGGAAAATAAATGTAACATTAAGAAGTATATAGATATCTAGACTATGTTTTAATGCAGTTTCTAAAATAACTGGGAATGTGTCTTTAACTTTAAAAACTAGGGATTTCTTAGGAGGACAAAAGTAGGTTTACCTTAGTTTTTTTGGGGGGGAAAGGACTTAATTCTCTAATGACTATTGTAGAAAATACTATAATAAGCAGTTAGGTAATACAGATGTAGCATCTGCTCCATAGAGCATTCTTGAACGTGTCTCAGTCAATGCTGTCAGCATATTGTCAAGACACAACTAGCTGAACTCAGATCTCTAGTTTTACTCACAGTGCAGGGGTGGAAAAATGGGCTTTGGACTCAGTGGCTGTTGCCCATCCTTGCAGGGCAAAAAGTGCCCCTTCCTATGAATGGACATGGACATGCATGGGGCTCATAGAATGGTGAGTGGAGCATAGAGTGAAATTTAGACACCAATTACCTCACTGACATAAGCTATCCAACCAAATATGGCAGCCCTTATCAACCCTGACAAGCTGGATTGCTACTTGTATGAATTTGAGAAAGTTTTATCATTTAAGCTTATGTTTTCTAGTCTATAAATTGAACAAAATAGTATCAGCCTTCCTGAGGATTGTCGGGCAGGTTAAAAAGAAATTACCTGTGGCTAGAGCTTGTGCCTGACACATAGTAGGCAGAGAAGGAGTACTTGTATTTATTGCCATGGGAGCTATTATAGTATTACTACTAATTTCAAGAGCAATGCAATCAGGGTTTACTTCAGAAAGTCTAAGAATCCGTTCCCTCACTCAAGCCAGGTTCCTGTTGCATCCAGTTTTCTTCTCTCTCTCTGAATAAGCCAGGCTACATTTCTTTAGTCTGGGTGATTTTTCTACCCAGTCTGTAGCAAGTTGAGAGTCAAAGCAGGTTTGAGATCCCAGATTCTTAACTTTGTCTTTCCCTCTGGGCAAGATATACATGCAACAGTGCCATGTCTGACAAATCCCAGCAACAGATTTCTGTAGGAAGACTAGAAGATAAGAAATAAAAAGCCTGTGTCTCAATTTTGTAATTGTGAAGCAATTCCAATTGGACTGTAAAATATATTGGTACAGGTCTGGGGTGAGGTTTACACATTCAACATAATAGCTGAGTTATTCAAAATATATGATACAAGTTTCAGAAAGCAGTTTGCATCTCTGTTTGCCTATGGCTAGAAAAGGGGCTTGCATTAGCCTATAGTTAATTATGTTTCATAATTATTTTTCTTCTTAAACCCCTAATAATGTCTGTTACTTAGGTATTCCCCCTCAACCATCTCCCCGCCACCCTGGGATGAATGTTACAGTGAGAATGGGTGAGGCTGAAATCAAGCTCAGAGATGTTGTGAATGGACAGAGAACCCAGTCCATGCTTTCTTTCCTCTGCTGGGCACTATCATAGCTATCATTCCAAATGTACCAGTAAGAGGGTACTCTGTGACAGACAGTCTTGAACCAAATATACACACATCTCCAAGAGCTCAGAGATTTCCAGGGCATGTTCAGGCACTGATTTGCTTTTTAACTCCTTAGGGTCTTAACACTTATCCTGCCTGGTGGCGGTTTTGTTTTGGTTCAATCATCATTGGGTTTGGAATGTTCTCTTCAATTGGCTGGCCACATGCATTTTCCAATGTGATACGCATCCAGTGTTGATAAATTGATGACTCTAAGTCACTGTGTGCTCAGCACAATGAATCTCAGGGAGCAACCTCATTCTCAGTTCTTCAGAACAGCTATTTCCCACTCCTGGGGGACTGACCATCTCACCGGACTGGAAATGGAATTGGTAATAGAATTTCACAGCTAAAAGCCTTCTTCAAATCTGGCCCTTGCCTGGAGGGGGAGTGAATGAATTTATAAGAGCCATCAGCCATCTGTGGCTTGTTTATCAAACATGTGGGCGCTGTCTCCTAGTTAGACTCCCATTGTATATGATGTCTCTCCTTGGCACTAACTTCAGCCCACCTTGAAGCCAGTGTCTGACTTGGTGAAGCCTGAGGAGGGAGTCAGGTGGAAAGGAACTTCTTCAAGAGCCTTTCCCCTGATCAGTGGCTTGGTGCCAACTATGGCTAGTGGCTCACAGAGCTCTGAAATGCATTGTATCAGGCAAATCAAACTCATGGATTCATATACTAAGCAGAAAGAGCTAGACTCACAAAAGACTGCTACCTTCAAAGTAGAAGGGATCTGAAACATACTCATCATCCATCTCACTTAAATAGCAACTTCACAAACTTACATTCAGTTATTCTTCAGGAAGTTTAGAGATGAATCCATGAAAGATAAAAGAATTTCAATGGTAAACCCAAAGATGAGATATCCCATGTAAAAGAACCATTGAATACCAGCCTTTCTGACTTAATAAACCACTAAACCAGGAAAGGAATGTGAAGAAAAATCTCAGTCATGAATGGCAATGTATAAATGTGGAATCTCTAATCATATGGCTCCAGAGGGAAAATTAGATTCCTTCAGTTTAGTCTGTTCATTCTAATGCCATATGCACCAAGAACTGGGTCCTAGAGTCCTCTGGGGAAACACATATTTCTTAGCCTGACCCTTGAATTCCTGGGAATCAAACTAAATGACTAATTGTTGAAATCTTCCCTCTTTAAAAGGAGGATTTGTTCACATAGCTACAAAGGAAATGGCACATGTGATTACTTTGCTGAGGGATGATCGGAAGAAGGGCAGTCCAAACTGGTACTTTACAGTCAATGAATGATGAGCTTATGGAGAGAATGTGACAGTCATTGACTGTGATAGAATGTAGAATTCTGAGTATCTTCTAATCAAGAGTCACATCTAGAAATTAAACTTCTGGAGAGTAGTGTCACCTCCTACTGAAAAGCCAGTGCTAGAACACTCGCAGCAACTCTAGGAAGAAAGGGAAGACCACCAGTGTGCCTCTACTGATTCATGCAGAGGCATCACTTCAGCAAGTCCTCAGAGCAGCCCCCCAGGTCAGCATTACAACCTGACAGTTTTAATTAATGAGAGAATTAAAGTGAGGCTTCCATGTTTGTCTAAGACTCCAGAGCATGTAATGGTGGTGGAACTTGAAATCTTTTCTGATCCAAAACAAAGTCACATTTTTGGAGAGTTCTAATAGTTTAAAGTACAGCTTCATGTTAGGGCAGCATTTTAGATTTCAGTGGTTGCCAGCATGTGGCGCATACCTGGTTTGTGAGATGACGTGTAAGTCAACTGCAGTTCCTCTTTCTCATCTATCAGCTGCTCTTTAGTCACTAAGTCATGTCCAACTCTTTGTGACCCCATGGACTGTAGCCTGCCAGGCTCCTCTATCCATGGGATTTTCCATGCAAGAATACTGGAATGGTTTGCCATTTCCTTCTCCAGGGTCTCTTCCTGACCCAGGGAAGGAACCCAGGTCTCCTGTATTGGCAGGAGGATTCTTTACCACTGAGCCACCCAGGGCAGCCCACAGGCATATTGGAAGACAGCTCCAAGTCTGGTTTGAATTCCCTTTGATTACTTCTTAGTCATATCACACTGTGGACTTGTTAAAGTGTCAGTTGACTAAATTCTATAAGATATTTACATCTTTAGCCATCATTTTTACAAATATGTTTAGATCCAGGTATTAAGGATTGGCATCTGTCATCAGTACTTTTCAACCTGTTAGATTCTATTCATGGATATACTCTGATGATATCCATGTGAAAGATGACTTTATCCTAATAAAATTTCTTGGTCCTGTGCCATTGGTGAATCTGACAGCAGACCTTCTCTACCTTCATACACATTAATGGTGCTAAGAAAAAAACACAGAAGTCTTAAAGTTGGCACCTTCCTTCTTGTTGAAATTGATTCATTGATCAGAAACTTTATGTTCAGATTTTCAGTCATATAACACTAAGGAGAAAAGAATAAGATCCCCTAGGGAATTTCCTTCTATGTGCCTATATAGTTTGTGCAGATAAAGATTTTACATCCCAAAAAAGGTTGGGATGCACCTTGAGATGCCCACTCGTTTAAGGTCTTGATAGTAACAAAATAAGACAACATAGGTTTAACTGCTTCCTCTGCTGCTTACCAAGAGTGTAATTTGGGGCAAGTCATTTGGGTATTTCTTAGTACAGTTTTTTCATCCATCATATGGCAATAATAATAAACCACACAGTGTTATAAATCAATAAAGTAAATAGAGGTGAAAGTGCCTTTTGAAAGCTCTGTGTGATTGTTAGCTCTTGTTGTGTTAACTAGGATATGAAGAGAGTATTTACCTTGAAGGTCTGTTCATGTAGTCCTGTGTCCATTCCATCAAAATTTATTAATTGCCAACTCCATGATAGGCACAGTGAGAAAGGACGGAACTGCAACCTAAAGCTGTTCCTCATCTTTTTGTGCTGTCTGGCAGAAAAACAGATCTCTAAATTGCTCCTATCTTGTCTTTACAATAAAGGCTTCTATTTAGTATGCAACACATTTCATTGTAATTATTCTTTCTGTGTATAAACATGATTTTAATTTACATTATAATGTAAGACAAGGGGAATGAGATTTATTATACTGAAGGCGAATATGTTTATATTATGCTTAAATTTTAATTTAAGGTTAAAATTAAGTAAAAATAATTGAGAAATAGGATAAATACTACTGTTCATTTCTGCGAATCTACCGTATCTGGGCTCCAATCTTTGGCTTTAGAGAGTTCAGAAGCAATGGAAAATTCACCAGCTCTGAACAACCAAGAAGGGGGCCAGCTAGATTCTGGCGTATTAAATGACTTGGAATGTCATGATGGCATTCTGGACAAGTCATTGTCATGCACCCATGAACTACCTTACTTGGCTCCAGAAACCATGTGAGGAACATTACTAGCTTGACTGAGGCCCCGTGGAACTTCCTGCATGTTCTTCTTGGGCAGACAGAGGAATTGTATGCCTCTCATCCCGTCTTTTAGGCTCTATAGACTGGCAGTGAGGGAGTTCCTATAGAACAGAGTGCCAGTGGAAATTGGACTTGGTCTCCCTAAAGTCAGTGTGAAGCAGAGACACTTAGGACTGTAGTATTTTGACGCTGAAGAGTGGGCTTCCTGATTGCCCCCGCCTATGGTGGCCACAAGGAGTCCACTGGACTTAACCAGGGCTGAGAGGGTGGTCAGGTTGATGGAGTGGAGTAATGCCGTTATGGGTTTCCTGTTTGTCACTATGGAAGGGCCACACTCTCACCTGCTCAATCCCCATTTACTTTGTATTCTAGGATAGAGGTCAGGAAGACTATATCCCACCTGCCTCTACAGCTGTGGTGTGTTGAAAGATCCCTGGACTTAAAGTAAGAAGATCTGGGTTTGAGTCTCAGTCTGTCACTTATTTTCTGTGTGACCTTGGGCAAGTCACTTCACCTATCTGAGCTTCAGTTTACTTCTCTGTTTAACTGGGAACATAGTATCCGTCTCATGGGGTTGCTGTGAGAAGTCAGTGAGATGGTGCATGTGGAAAGTGCTTTGTTGACTGAATATTGTGGGGCAGGTAGCAGAATATGTTACATTTTGTTTCTTTTTCAGGTACTCAGCCAATGGTTTAACAACCCAACAAAATGCATCAATAAATATGCAACTGCCTTCAAGAGAGACAAACTCCTATTTTAATAGTTTGGAGCAAAAGGACCTGATGGGATATTCATCCCCAAGGGCCAGTTCTGTGCCCATCATCCCTTCAGTGGGTCTAGAGGAAACCTGCATGCAAATGCCAGGGATTTCTGAAGTCAAAAGCATCAAATGGTGCAAAAACTCCTACTCTGCTGATATTGTCAATGTGAGTATTCCAGTCAGCGATTGTCTTATAGCAGAACAACAAGAAGTGAAAATATTGCTAGAAACTGTCCAGGAGCAGATTCGAATTCTGACTGATGCCAGGCGGTCAGAAGACTACGAACTGGCCAGCGTAGAGACCGAGGACAGTGCAAGTGAAAACACAGCCTTTCTTCCCCTGAGTCCCACAGCCAAATCAGAACGAGAGGCACAATTTGTCTTAAGAAATGAAATACAAAGAGACCCTGCATTGACCAAGTGACTCGAGATGTAGAAATCTGTGCATTCTATGCTTTGCTCAACAGGAAAGAGAGGAGATTAAATACAAATTATTTATATGCATTAATTTAAGAGCATCTACTTAGAAGAAACCAAATAGTCTATCGCCCTCATATCATAGTGTTTTTTAACAAAATATTTTTTTAAAGGGAAAGAAACGTTTCAGGAGGGATAAAGCTTACAACTAAAGCTTTTGGGTAGAATTCTGAATACAATTTCAGTTAGTCCCAACACTGTCCTCTTTGGCTCTTAGTAGATGTGAGCAATTCAGACCCTCAGCCCCACAGTGCCAGTGGCCTCATAAAAAGTGCTGGCAGTTGCCCAGTTTCAAAGAGAAGAGATGTGTGCAGAGGGCGGACGTGCCAGTGAGCAGGTGGCCCTTGCCATGTGGCTTGCCAATCCCAAACCCTAAATCTCTATTCACTCGACAGCCTCATCACAGGTTATGTCATGTCAACCAATGTAATGTTTTCTACTTACTTTTTGAAGAATGGCACAAAGACTCTGGAGAGAGGAACAGAAGATAGAGGGCATCATGGGGCCATCTTAGCCACTCTTATGTGCCAGCTTCCTCCAAAATTTGAAGGCACAGAATCTCAGAGGGAGGTAGGAAATTACTATAGAAAAAGAGACAAAAACATCACAAATGTCGTGTCACTAAAATCATGCTAATAGAAATGTTTTTCTTTGAGATTGTTTTAGGGGGCTCCAAAGGAGCATTTCTCAGTGTGTGTGTGTATGTGTGTGTGTGTGTATATGGGGGCCTGCTCACTCGAGCACCGGTATGCTGTATGCACATATGTTCATTGTGCGTATGTGTGTGCATGTGTGTGTGTATTCAGCTTGCTAAAAATTTGTTGAAACATCAGGGAATCTAATATTCAGAAGAAAAAAAAAAAATTTCCCTCGTAGATCTGTTCACTTTCAATTTTTTCCATTAAGTAGAAAGTTCAGTTAGTAAATCAAGGTCACTTGCATGGTGGGGTCCTACAAAACTCTTGACAGTGTCTAGACCATTTTCTGATGTGAATCTTTTTGAAAGAAACAACTATTGGCTCATTAATGATATCAGTATCACAAGGCAAGTTGGGGATGTGTACCTATTCTGAGTCATGCATACTTAAATTATTTATACAAGCCAATGATCAAATTGATGGTTACCCTTTTCTTTCTCATCATCCTCATTACTATTTATTTTATAGCAAGTCTGCCATGTGTGGACCAAGACATTGGCTTCTGTGGTTAATATGGAAAGAATAAATTGTTGAAGTCACAAAGCCCAGCCTATTCAGTTCACAGGAAGTCCCCCAAAGAACAGTAAATTGTGCTGTATGTTCATTTGGAATAAAGCAATATTTTTACCACTGCTAAGGTGAACTGAAACTTCTCCTGAAGATTTGTCTGTTTTATTTACCCTTCTTTTCATGGGGCAACCAAGGAAATTAGTGTTCACATAACCAGTCTTTTTCCAATTATTGATGGTGTTGAGTTGTTATGTTTACACTGTTTTAAATAAAAAGGCATAGTATTTGAAGGTATATAAAAGATTTCTTTTACTGAAGTTTGGGAAAACTTTGAGTAGAATTTCTTTGTGGAAGATGCCCATTCCCTTGAAAAGGAATGTAACTCTTTCTGAATCAAATATTGAATATATACAATTCTTATTTAAGATTAAGCTGTTTCTGCTTAAAATACATTGCAAATTGCTCTTTGAGAATATTCTTTGATAATAGACATAAGTGGAAACTCAAGTCTCAAATGTTGAAAACATTTTGGTAGAAACACATTTTATATTTAACAAAATGTTTTGTGGTATTCATGAATTGTTTATTTTGAATATAGAGGTAATACTGTTAGACTCAAAATATTATTATACATTTTAATATCTCAATTATCTAAATTCTCATTTAGAAATAATATCTTTGGGAAAATTTTGAGAAAGATGGTCTTAATTAACAGGTATATTAAAACCCCATGATTTGCATACCCAATATGTTACTGTATTTAAATTTTTCACAATTATCAAACATTGATTGGAAGTCCTCTCAACTCTGTTGAAGTCAAGCTTGTCTTGGGTTTTTCACTAAAATGTTACCTGTTGCATATCTAAATGAATTCATACAGATTCTACCTAATTAGGAGGTTGTATGTTCTGTATGAAGTTAATATATCATTTACTCTAAGAAGATCAAAGGTTATCAATCAAACTTAAGTCCTGATCCAACCCTTATTTAGTTAAAGTAGAACCATATATCTGTAATTATAAAAAGCCTCGTGCGTTCTAAAGGATATGAACATCAGGCTTGTCCACCAGCAGCCCAATGTAAAGTTTAGACATAGTTATGTCAAAATTGATAGTGGAGACAGAAATCCTCTATAAAGAGCAATTATTAAATGACCACTGAAAGTGACCATTATCTCCTTTTGGAATATGAAACTCCTATGAAAAGCGTTCAGACTCAAAAAGCACCTCTTTGGGCACCAGCAGACAAGTGCTGATAAGCGTCAAGATTCTCAAAGCTGATCTAATGTGGCCAACACCTGAAGATACTGGTACCTTGTCTTTCAAGCTCACATGCCTACACGGAAGTGTTTATTTCTACAAGACACTTTTGATTTTGCTTCATTTTCCCTGTATTTGTTATAAAGGTAGATATTTGGAGATTTGGTAATTGAGTAAGTTGCAATTCATTATTTATTGGAGAATGAATGTCACTCATTACTTTTTCACTCCGAATCATTTCCTAATATCTTATTTTATATAAAGTGTATGTTATTCTGATTTGCCAGTGACTTCTATAGAATGCTGTTGTTTAAAATATATGAACAATTTTATGCTAATGAGAAATAGTGGAAATTATGTTGGAGAATTGGCATCTAAATTTTCTCTGATTTTCTTGTGTACATTAAGTGTTCTATGGTTTACACTCTTGTCCAATATCTACCTTGCTATGGGTGAAGGACTAAATATTTGTAGACTGATAAAATCCCCAATGATTTACATTATCTCCCAGTAGCAATAGCCAGGCCCTCTCGAGCAGAAATGGTACAGTTTTTCAGGATTCCACAATGAACTTGTTTTGATCATAACATAGCAGACCTACCAAACAGAAGGGCCAGACAGATTTCCAGAGAATGACTGCTGGCTTCTGGACTGAATGACAGGTACTTGAGTGGGGCTTCTAAGGCTTTCAGTAACCAGCTGTCCACCAGAATGTACTTGATGTACGCAGCAGTCACTCACACTTACCTTGCAGTATGGTGCTACAGGAAACCATGACTCCCTGAGTAAGGGCAGGGGGAAATGGTGATTCCTCTAATTCCAACCCTGTAAACCAGAAAATATTTCCTTTAGACAAGTGCTATGAAACATTTCCCAACTGAGTACATAGTATACCTAGGAACACAGCAGGAGGGGTGGGGTTTTTATTTGAGCTTTTGGTATCCAGGAAACATTTTATATATAAAGAATACTTTTTAAATTATTATTCAATTGTATAGATTCAGTACACTGTTATTAAATGATGGCATGTCTCTACTATGTTTGTATTTTAGTCTACACAAATTCAATCTTCATCCAAGAAAGACCAGCACAATGTTTCTGAGCTGTTCTCAATTTTAAATGCATCCCAATGTCATGGGAAATGAGGCCTTTAAATAAGCTTTATCTCTTCCTCTTTTATTCTTTCTTTCCCTTTTAAAGAAATAGTGAGGGTAAAAGAAGAAATTCATTACTTAAGATCAGCATTGTTCTCTTACAATAATCTATTTCCTACTGTGACACACATACATATATAAGCATATATGTATGTATAAAATATACATGTATTACATTTAGGTGTTTGGTTATTTTGGTAGGTTTGTTTTTGTTTTATTTGACAAACATTAAAGTGATTGCCTCATGGAAGGCCAATGAAATAAAAACCTTTGGAAATCAGCCAACTTGGCAATGTTTAGGTAATACAGGCATTTTCTGGTTCTTCCTCTTAAAGCAGAAATTTCCTTGAGTTGGAAAAAATTCAAAAGACCCTGGAGTAAAATGTCTGCTAGATTATCTCTTAGAAATGAAGAATAAACTATGGGTATATATGATTACTCTCCCTATAATGTGTAAGCTCAAATATATTTTTTACAATTTTAACTATTTAGTTCTCTCAAAGGTGCTTAAACAGGCATCTTTGATATCTAGTACCCACTGTACTCCAGTGAAGAGTTCTGGTGAGGGCAGAATGGTGGTGGGGAAGCTATGTGTTAATGCTGATTACCCAGTGAAGACACTAGTAGAGATGACCAGATCGAGACATACTTGGCCTCTAGTACTTTAATAACTTTGTGTCATAAAAACCTGTATTGACTGCATGTGTATTGTTGCCTATGAAAGAATTAATGGTGTGATAGCAAATAATTCTTATCATTGAAAATGAATTAGAAAATCTTTATGTTGGAAGATGACATTGTGAAAGCTTCTACTTTATGTATACATAATGGTAGCTCCATGATCCCATCTTCAAATGAGAAGGATGATCTAGTTCATCTTTAATTTCCAACTGGATGGAATCTTATGCAGTCATTCCAACTCAGACATTACATTGTCATCTAGTAATACAACCATTACCATTTGAGCTATCCGGATTGGGAAGATCCCCTGGAAAACTGAACATTACAGCTACCCACTCCAGTATTCTGGCCTGGAGAATTCTGTGGACTGTACAGTCCATAATGTCACAAGGAGTTGGACACGACTGAGCGACTTTCACAATGCTGCCCTTTGGAGAGATCATGGCTGTGAGACTCCAAAATTATTGGAATCTGTATATCGACTTGTAAATAAGACATTTACAATATTCCATTTAATTTCCATGGAGAAATAGGATCTCTTGTGATTGTTTTTAAAGTAAATTTGTGTAAGCCAAGTAATAAAGAAGAAGGGATGGCCAAGTGAAAGTTGTTCAGTCGTGAGTTTCAAAGCCTGAACATCAAAAT